AGGTGGGGGTCACCTGTTTTCAGAGGTAAACTTAGTGAGAAAATGGCCGCCAAAGATTAGTTATTTCCTTAGCTTAAGAGTCCGTGGTAACTGAAAATTTACACTTTTGTGCCTTTAATCAACGCTTTTCAGAAAATAAACACAGAAATGAGTTATTTATTGGACAAGTAAGGTGTTGAGTCAAAAAACAAAAATTTTATAAAATTCACAAACCTGCTGAAAAAAGCAAGTTTTTTCACATTGATTATTTTGACGAGAGCCTGATTCCACCCCGCTGCCTCACATAAAACAGGCGCGACAAAGCTTAATATAAACACAGTTTACGTATTTCCTCGGGTAAATGTCACTTTTATCACCCCACTGCGCAACGATGGCCAACAGGCAATAGACATTACGAACAATGTGTCCCCTCATTTTAAGATAAGCAGGGTATAAAAAGCCTCCAAATGTTCTTTTCCACACGCCCAAAACACATTGGCCACAAGTATGTTAGACAATGCTTTTCGTTCTTACAATACGAATACATGCCCCGAGAGAACACAGAGCATACTTTACTAAAGTTGAAGCGTTACTGGAGAACATTTCACTCTACAATAGAAGTTGTATTGTTAGGCAAAAGAAATATAGGTCAATATATAACAGTTACATTACATGTTTTCAAAATATAACGTGCAAAGTTATTGGATATTGTTTTAAATCTCAGCCATAGTGCTCTGACTGCCGCGGTAAAAACTTACAATTTACCTCGGGGCGTTTATCCCTGAAATTTTCAGCATTTAGAATGTTAGTTTTCAGATATATAGTGATAATACTAGTTCCAATACTTACTTTGTTCCTTTGTTGTTGCTTTTCAGGAGCTTAACTCGTTGACAAGATCTACAACTACAAGATGAGAATGTTTCAAGTCATCCTTGTTGCTGTCTTCATAGCAGGTAAATAAAGTAACGCTTGAGGGTTTCAGTACTGAGGTCTTTTTAGGGTATCAGAATTTCTGATGACATGTCGAAAAAATATTTAACACCTTCAAACTAGCTTTGTTATTGATTTTCAAATTTGTACATCTATACATATTATACTTCTGAAAGTTCGTCACTTTGGCTGCCTAAAACTTCGGAACTACTTAACTTTCGAATTTGACAAAATTAATGGTGGTTCAGAATCATTTAACAGTTCTATTGAGGAGCCTGAAGTCCCTGTAGTTTAAGTTTCAGGTTTTCTTTAGTTTCGTTTAGATCTAATCTTTGGAAAGTCCGTCTTCTAAGATGCTATTGTAAACAAAAACGGTTTCCGTTCAATAGCCGCGCGCACTGTTTTCACACCTCTGAAATTCTGGAGTGTACAACCCCGAAAGCGGAATAGAGAATCAATCTATACATCACTAGATCAACATCTAAACCTTCTAATTTTTTGCATCTCTCAATATTTATTGCTCCATTCTAGTAGAGTGTAAATATAGTAGGCCAATGACTTTCAGTTTATGTTAAAGCACCGATCATTCCTTTCAACGAAAGTGGGCCCTGCTAGTCAGTCCTTTTAGACTGTTTTTGAAAAAGAACCCCCCCCCCCCAGAAACAGCACAATCACGATGATTGCATACCAAGTACTTTGGCACGGCCTGACGGTGCTGATGGTGTTGATTGTGATGTGCAAGGTAAATGTCGGCAGAGCATACTTTTATATGTCAATGCGCATCTTCCAGCATTGACTCTTAATCACCCCAGAAAAATCGAAGGGGAAATACCTGGAGATGAATTTGGTCTATTGGCTTCCAACAAAACGCTATTACTTTGAATTTCATTAAAAAACACAGCCCATATAAAAAACATCAAAGGCAATTTGCGATGAAGAAACTTGTAGCCATCCGACAGGGGGGGGCAGGGACTAGGAGACACCTAACTTCTCTCATAGCCAAATATGATAAGTCCGTATAACATAATACGTCTCAATATTATAAATCTGTATATCATAAGTCTGTATATCGAAACTCTGTATATCATAAGCCTGTATATCATAAGTCTGTATATCATAAGTCTGTATATCAAAAGTATGTATATCATAAGTCTGTATATCATAAGTCTGTCTATCATAAGTCTGTATATCAAAAGTATGCTTATCATAAGCATGTATATCAAAACTCTGTATATCATTAGCCTGTATATCATAAATCCGTTTTTGTCATAAATCTGTATATCATAAGCATGTATATTATCAAAACTCTGCATATCAGAAGTCTGTATATAATAAGTCTGTATAATCACCATAGTTCCGTATTCCTTTCAGTTTTAACTCTACGGCACTTCAAATTTTTTGGGGAAATTGTTCAAAATTCAGTATTCATCCTTAATATAGTCGGGTTTGTTTTGAAATAAGATAAACGATTAAGGCATTCGAATTTGTATTCATTCCAAAGTCGCCATCAACTATTTCTGTTTTTACTTATATCGAGTGGTACCTGATGCATGTTGTCCTTGAATACAGAAAGATTATGAAAGGAAAAAAATACAGTCATCTTTAATGTTGATTTCTTTCTAGCCGTGATAGCCTTGTCGTTTGACAGTTCAAGATCTCGACCATATGAGCGGTTCGAATCCCCCCCCACCCACCCATGGCCCACCCCCACAACATCCCGGTCTTCATTTTCGTCTTGCAGGTTACGCTGCCTCCGACTTCCATGATGAAAATCAACAATGCGAAAGCAGCTTGCAAACCTGTGCATTCCCTGTGGCCATGAAATTTGCGCCTCACACTGAGTCTGAGGAATCGTTCATTTCCTATGTCCAATCAATCCCTGTGAATACAGTATGCACGTGAGCCAACGTTTCATTTATTATGTTGTTTTTCTGCGAGCTGTACAAGCCAAAATTAATGGGAAGGGGGGCTATATGCTGGGCTTCGGCAAAAGAACTCTGTATATACTCAAACTTCAGATGTTGGTATACAATAAAACATAGAAACGCATTTACTCCACTAAAAAGCCATCTGTTTGCTCTGATGAGTTGCTTTCGTCACTTTATAGACTGACTATGACGGGGTTCATACTTTAAACACACCTTTCAACATGGGTGAAGTAAGAATTTTTTTTAGACAACATTGCCAAGTGGTCGATGTGGATGTACGACATTTGCAAAAAATTTATAACAGTAGCAGTAGAACGAGCAACTGACACTGCTGTCTGATTTTTTTTCTGTTTCAGAGTAGTGATGGAACCCTTCATGCAGTGTGTTCAAACGGCTCTTGACACCGTCTGTGCTGGTAGTAATTCCTATATCGCCACTGAAGCGAGCAACTTTCTCGGTGTTATTTCCTACGCTTGTGGCCCTGCAGGACGCCTAGGTAGGTTTCCATTAACTTCTTTCCATCCATACCCTTCAGTTTACTCCAAACTTCTATCTAAGCTTACTATAATCTAATAGGTGAGACAATTAACGGTAAGCTATATTCGTAATCTTTGCTATGTTTGAACCAAGAGAGTTTTGCCCCCTCCACCCAAATAGAGGAAGGGAAGCAGTTGTTTTTTAGATCAATATTCTTTGTAGCTAGTTTTATAACATGTAACAATCTTTTTCTTAACCCCTTCACTGCCAGGCAGTCTCAGTCTTTTTAGTTTGACTATGGAGCAGGTCTGGAATTAGCTGTGCATTCCTGCGTTAAATGAATTTTGATACTTATTATCCCAATACAGTATTTCCAGTTTATGTTTTAATTAGTATTACTGAAGACCATTTCCAACACTACTTAGAGTCTAGTACACTTTGCAGTGTACCTTGTAACCTGCCTAAATATGCCTTGTTGCAATGTTCTGTCACACCCACTTTAAAAGTACAATAACTCATTTACTATTACACATAGCCAGGAGAACTTTGGTACACATGATCTTTATTCATTTTCTGCCAACATGACAAGAAAAGAATTGACAAATTAATTTTATTCCTTATTCAAGGGCGATACTGTTATACACACTGACCTTGGCAAAATCCGAATCAAAGTTTGCTCATTATTGTGTGTGGCTTCTTCCAGCTTGACTTACTGATACAAAATGTCTATTGATTGATTGAATCAATGTCCTTTTGGTTGCCTGAGGAATCCCCTGCCATTCCTTGTGAAGCGCACCCTTCAGTTCCTGACAAGTTTGTACGGAGTGCAGCCTGTTTCTAATCCTCCAGTCAAGGTCATCTTACAAATGTTCTGTTAGGTTAAGGCTAGTTGATCTTTCAGGATAGTCCAGAACAATGATTTGAAGAGTTTAGAAGGAGTTTTGGCTAATTATGCCCGCATGGGGTCAGGCGTTGTCTTTTTAGCACATTCCATCAATCGTGCCATATTGGGCAGTCAACGTGACAATGAATTTCGTCACGATACCGTTGTCCTTTGATGTTGCTTAGAAAAGTGACCAAATTATGTGTACGATAAAGAGCAGAAAATTCATCCCACACCATCACCTTTCAGGCACCAGATCGGCCCACTTTGGGACATTTAAACACTTTTTTTTCTTCCATTAATACGACAACTTAAAAACCTGAACCACTTCTAAACGGAACACTTTACCAAGGTCTTCAGTTCCATCGACCATGTTGTTGTGCCCAAATTTGGCGATTTGTTCCATGAAACAGGGTTAGAATGGCTCTACATAAAGGGCGATAATGACGTAATCCACGATCATATAAATGTCTAATAATGGCGTTTTAAGAATGTCCGATGTACCTGGTAGTTTATGCACTCAGTTGGAACGGGTTTCGAAGATGGGTTTTGACAATAACCCACGTCTGACGTTGAGTTGTCCCCCTTGGTTGGCCACGTCTAGGCTTGTCTCGTACAGTTCTAGAGGTGTTAAAGCGCTTGTTGAAGGGTTACATAGTTCTTCTACACACATGTACGTGTCTTGCAACAGCAGAAAGCACATTTGAAGAACTTACCATACACACAGGGCGTTCATTATCTGCACTGGTCGGTTTCGTTATTTTGAAAACAGGAGAATAAATGACCCAACTGTTTAATATCACGGAATTTTATAGTGTGTTTGGTGTGTTTACATAATAATTCTCTTCGTGATTTAAAGCAAATTTTGTGTGTAGGATGCGTTTATTTCAACCTGCACCGTGAGAACTCAAAACCAACACTTTTCTTTCGTCTGGTCATGCACGTGGAGTCTCATACGTCACACAAGTCATACTTTTTCATTTTTACAGCAATTCTTACGCTGTAGCGAAAATCATCGTAGTATAATGGGTGTGACAGAACTTTTGCAACTCGGTATATAGAAAGTTAATTCGTCACTACCGGTGTTATCTTTAGGCTAAAACAGCACCTGGACACGGATGGCTGGTGCTTCTATAAATAAATCATTGATGGTCTGGTCTGACCGGTGTTATCTCTCCAGTCCGCTCACTCCCATCTCCTTATACCCTGTCTCTTTATCGAAGCATATCGCCTCTCCTCAACCTTCTCACCTCCTTACCATCCCCCACCCTCATTCACCAGCCTTCGATGATCCTCTCATCCTAGTGGTTAGGCTCTCGGACTCGCAACCGTTAGGTCGACGGTTCGAATCCCGTCAGGGGCCCGACGTTGTGTCCTTGGGAAAGGCACTTTGCATACATTTTCCTCACTACACCCAGGTGGAAATGGGTACCCGGCTATAGACAGTGAACGATCTTGTCAGTTTGTTAGTGTTTGAGCGCGTGGAATCCGCAGCTTGTACTGTAATAGTATGCTTCCGCGGAAGCCGAGAATGTTTCTGAGTGTTCTCAGAGGGTCTGATGGGGTAATAATAGTTGAAAAGCGCTTAGAGTAAGCTCTTGAGCCTGGATATGCGCTATATAAATGCAATTATTATTATCATTACTTCCCTCCCCTCATGACAGAAACTTGGCTTTCACTGAAGACTGCCTCGGGTCAAGTGGACAGATTAAAAAATTGTTGTCATTTAAAAGTGTCCTAAAAGAATTTGATAATCAGCGTAACATTCTTTCTAAGATCCGAAAGGGGAGATCCAAGTACCTTGGTCAAGAAAAAGAAACATAACAATGGATCTGATGCTGTGCTGTAGAGCAAAATAGAGGCAAGGAGAAATAAGGGAAATACATCATACATTTAAAATCTAAAATGTAATTCATTTTTTACTCCTAAAAATACAATAATTAAGAGAGAACAAATGAAACAAATTAATGCAAAACACGATTGACAAAAAGCGCTAGGACAAATATCCACAAAAAATACACACATTCACACACAAATGCACACGGACAGGAGAGACAGACAGACAGACATACATACAGACAGACAGACAGACACACAAACATACACACAAACATTCCCACTAACATACACAAAAACACACGAACAGACACTCACATGTACACACATATACCATCACACAACACAACACACGTCTGGCACATACTTAAGAAATTCTCTCTTCAAATAAGATTTACCAGTATATGTATACTATGTATATTTTGTGTTAAGCACACACCGGTTCTCACCCCTTTCCCTTTTTTTCTCTCTCTCTCTCTCTCACTCTACAACGCCAGTTTTGGAATCGATGAAACAGTCCCCTTGTCTCAACAATGCATATGCGTTCGAGGCCGCGGGGAATCTAGTTGAGATGTGTCAAAGCGTGACCTATGCCCAAGTGGAACCTCAGTTGGAACAGAGCAACGACCAGGAAACCAGGCCTGATCCTGCTATTGTGTGCCCGTAAGATTCTGTTGTTGCTGACGATGTTGTTGTTCTTGTTTTCGTTGTTGTTGTGGGGGTGGTGGTTGATGTAGTTGCTGTTGTTATTGTTGTTGTGTTGTTTCTTACGGCTGTCGTCGAGGATGTGATGATGCTGTTGCTGCTGCTGTTGCTGTTGCTGCTACTGATGACGATGATGATGATGATGATGATAACGATGATGCCTACCTAAATTTTATCTAACCTTCATCGCGATAAGCCTTTTTTTTCTCAGAATGTATCTCATCTTATGTCAGACATTTTCAGGGCCAAACGGGCAATTTTGAATACCTCAAAATTTAGCCCACTCTGAATCGAAAAGTGCCTCACATGTAGAAGAGTTATGTCCGCTGTTATCAGGCCCACCCAAGACAAACCAGCTCTTAAACAGTGATCTTAACCACTCCGGGGTATTATAATAATTATAATATACTATCGCGAACGCTTAATGTACTTTCCATTAGAGTGTCATTTTGTGATGATGGCGGAATCGTCAAATCCCATGTTCCTGAGTTTCGTGGCCAACAGTTGAAGATAAGCTCCATGTCGTCAAATGACCCCCCCCCTAAAAACAACAACAGCAACATCAGCAGCAACAACAAACAAATAAAAAATAAAAAATACAACTAAACTCATTATAACTTACCAGGAAGATAATGAGGTCTCTCACTCAATCCTTAAAAAAAAGATCTTTCACACTTTAGCTTACTATATCAAACCTTGGTAATTGGTAAAAACTGGAGGAACTACTATTATTATTATTATTATTATTACTATTATTATTATTACTATTTTTATTATTATTAATATTATTATTATTATTATTATTATTTTCTATTATTATGCTATCTATTATTATTTGTTCAAACATGTATAAGTATAGTATAGGTGAGGCAGCGTGGGGAATCAGGCTCTTGTTAAAATAATCAAAGTGCAGAAACTTGCATTTTTCCGCAGGTTTGGGAATTTTTGTCAAATTTATTTTTTGGCTCAACACCTTTCTTGCCCATTTAAGAACTATTTTCTGTGTGGATTTTTCTGAAAAACGTTGATTAAAGGCATGAAAAGTAAATGTTCAGTTACCACGGACTATTAAGTTAAGGAAATAACTAATCTTTGGCGGCCATATTTTTCACTAATTCTACCTATGAAAACAGGTGACCCCCACCTCCTTCATTCACAAATATCTCTACTTGTATTCAAGATAAATGGATATTTTTTTTCAACCAAATAAAGACAAGTGAACAAGCTTTACGATGATACCAATAACTCTACATGCCCAAAATTTGACGAGAGCCTGATTCCACCACGCTGCCTCACATATTATTCAATAAGTGAATCAAAGAACGAATGAACAAGTTACTAACTCTACCTCACTCACATATAGGGAAGCTTTCGTTTAACTTCACAGTAGTGTACAACTTTCCAAATAACATTTTTTTAACAGACTGTTAGCCGAGATGCGAGCCTGTATTGTGGGCGGTTTAGGCAGTATCTGTGGAGACGCATTCGAAGAGTTCTTCAGCCAGATCTGGGCGAATTTGAGACTTTCCATGACAGGGCAATATTTTGACTGCGGTGAGGGACTCAAAAGAGCAGGTAAGTGAAAGACAATCATAATTGTACTGAAGAGAGAGAGAGAAAGAGAGAGAGAGAGAGACAGAGAGACAGAGAGAGAGAGAGAGAGAGAGAGAAACAGAGAGAGAGAGAGAGAGAGAGAGAGAGAGAGAGAGAGGGTGGGGGGAAACTGACAGACATTGGGAGAGAGAGAGAGAGAGAGAGAGAGAGAGAGAGAGAGAGAGAGAGAGAGAGAGAGAGAGAGAGAGAGAGAGAAAAGAGGAGGGGGGGTCTTGTAAAATTGTAATCACTTTCGTAACAAACGCACCTTTTAAATAGTTTTTTTTCTTGACTAGCATAGCATTCCACGTCTTCCCGCACATGTGAATAACATATAATATGCTACTTTGCCATCATACTAAAATACCGTGTCACTGTTATAATAATCGTTCTGAATTTCTCAAAATAATGAAATCGAAGAAACCAGCATTTTCCCGTTCGTTTTAGGCAATTTTTATTGACTTTTTCGGCTCACTACCTGTTATATCCACTTCAGAATACATTTCTGGGGTGACATTTCTGAAAAACGATGATCAAAGACACCAACCCCCCCCCCCCCGTCAACTCACAAAAAGTACATTAACAGTTTTCAATCCACTCAAGCTTTTAGAATCACCAAACTTTGGCGGCCATTTCATTTTCTCTGTAATTGCACCTCTGTTACCGGGCGACCCTTCCTTTGTCAATCACAAATGTCTTAGTAGAAAACTAAATGAACAGATCGTATTCTGACCTGTTTTATCTTTATACCTTATGTTAACTGCAGAACTTTTTGGTCAAATCCCTATTTGATCCGTTTTGATGCTTCAAAGTTCACCCGAAAGTTTATAAGGGCTAGTCGCATTGAGCTAGCAAAGACACGACATGACCCCTAAATACGTAAAAGCCACTTGCTTGCTTGTTTTCCTTGAACGTGTGAAATGGTGGTAAAAAAACATTAAACTTGTTTGATTTATTAGGATTTGATCAATATATATATAGAGAGTGTTTTGGACCCCATACCAACCAGTAGTGGGTGTACCCATGCTTAAACAATACTAGAGAGACTCCTGAGCTCAGAGCATGCATCCTTGACCTTTGGTCCTTAAAATCAACCTCTGTGGGAAATGTTTCCTGTGTGCCAGGCTTCTTTCTTTTCATTCGCATTTTTTATGAACATTTAATTATGAAATCTTCATGACACCAGGATGTGCTCGCATATGAACCACCTGCCCTTACACGAACCAACTGCAGTCCTCATATGAACCACACCTCATGTAACCTTGCTTTGAAAATGCTATTTTTGTCATTTTATATGTATGTTTCTTTCAGTGACCAAAAGAATCATTCTGGTACCTAATAAATAGCCAGCTTTTTAATTTGGACCTGATTTCAAGTGTGATAAGACAAAAATAAATGTCTCTCCTCATGACTGGCATCATACTTTGCAAGCAGGCCTCTATATGACAGTGTAAAGAAAGGCATTCTTTAAGATGTTATGATTGCCCACTGTGTCCTTATAAGTGTCCAGGCTATTTGTAACCTCGGCAAGGGACAAGTAAACTGATAAACCT